GCGCGCGGGGTATGTAACTTGTAGAGCTTGCTTTTCGGCGCCGCAAAGGAAAATGTCGCGTTTCCTTAAATCCCGCACCCTATGGGTTGTTGCCAGCGGCGATGGCTAAAAGCAGGCTTTAGTCCTCGGATCCTGAAGGATACCATACTCAGAAACCTGACGAGGATACAATCATGCCATCAAGGTGTAGAGTGATCACCAACTTCCATCGTCAGAGGTCAGAGTCTGTACAATGCAGGCTTCTATGCGGGACGATCAGCTGAAGTTTGTGTAACGGGAAGCTGCAGTGTTCGCTCAGGGTGCAGCTAAGATCTTCATTAGGCCAATCACCAGACGCACTAAGACAAAAGTGGGACAAACTGCTAATGCTTGGTCTGACCTTCTTCGCTGCCCGTGGGGTCGTTTCGACTACGCGTCGAACGCTCGCTGCCGCACTGTATTCGCCTTCATGGACAACCTAATCTAAGCTTCACTCGACATCTACAACGCAGCTTAGCAAGTGATTTGTTCTGCTCGTATCTATAGTATCTCTGCTTACAATGTGCACAAGGCCACGGAGATGATCTTAGCAGAGGCGTATGTGCATCTAAAAGCTGGTCAAACCTATAAACGCCCCCTGAGTCGCTCCTTCTATACTGGCTTCCTCCGGTTCTATCACTCGACGTTGACTTCAACCCACTCATGTGGAACTGTTCTTGTCGACAAAATAATTAAAGAATAGATCATGCTTGGATTTGTCTCTCTTTCTGGAGTTGACAAGCGAGTCATCTGTGATGTAAGACCACACGCCACTTCAAGTTTGAATTATAGTTAGTAGGTCTAAATACGTCGGCAGCGAGCTTCCATAATACTCCTCGTGGGCGATATAGCTACTTCACTAACCACACACGCAAGAGTGTATCGATTTACCACTCTCGCGGTGTTGAGAAGCTTTCGAAGTTTCCAAAGATCCACGTGCGCACCCCATGGCTTCTGGAGACGGGTTAAAGCGACAAGCGATTGTAGAGCACACGCGCTTCAACTAGTAATGGCCACAACTATGGAATATTCTGAAAGATCCATTCCATAGGAACTCATGTATATATATATATGTATTGTTCTAATATATCAGAAAGCGGTCTATGTACCAAATCGATGCCGCAAGCGACTCCCCAACTCCGCGTCATCACCGGGTATACCACGCTTAATTCATGCAAGCACTGAACACATCGCTCATCTCAGCATCCTCTTCCATGTGTCTCCTATGCGCTGTGAGTAAGCCGAAGGCATCCACTTCTAGAGTATGTCCTATAACTCGTCGTGCGCATCTGGTTCGGGCATCTTGATAGGTTCCTGTGGCCTGTTCAACTCGGCATCGATGCTGACGCCCTTCTTCGCACGATACTTCTCCCAGACACTCCAGAATTCCTTCTCCATACTCTTTTCCATTTGATCGGGTAGTACGACCACGTATTCAACGTGCAAGTCACCAAACTGCAGGCCCTCGTTGTTCTCGAGGTGTTGGTGCCATATTGGCATACCTTCTTCTTTGACAATTTCAACGAGATTGGGTTGGACGACCTCGCCACGTTTACGGGAAAGTTGTACAATGTGGCCGTCCAGATGTGTGACATTACGTGTCCAACCACCCATCCATGCCTCTCGAAGAGAAAGAACTTCGCGCCAGAAGAGATCTTTACCTCGTCTCCTGAAGAAGGTTCCGTCTGTGCGCTCGTGCTCTTGTTCTCCCATTGCGGGCTCCGCCTCAGTGAGGTGTACGATGAGGTCACCGGCAACGTAATCGGGGCTTTCGTCAGCTTCGTTCTCGTAGGTGACACGTACACCCTTGGGCATGCCCTTCTCGATTTCGAGAGTGTGAGTTTCGGCTTCACGGATAACTCTGCTACCACTGCAGACAGGGCATGGATGCTTGATCGTCTTTCCTTTGCCGTGACATTGGTCGCAATGCATCTGTACTTGCTGGAATAGGCCGGGTGCGAGTTGTTGTCGTTGGATTCTGACACCGCGTCCACCGCATGTGCCACATGTCTCTACATGCCCATCTTCCGAGCCTGAGCCCTCGCAGGCCGAGCATATCGCCTGTTTCTCAATTGTGAACTCCGTCTTTCGGCCGTTGTAGAAGTCGCGGAGTGGCAGTGATACTCGCACTTCCATGTTTGGCCCTCGGCGCTCTCCTCCTTGATGTCCGAAGTGTCCTGAGCCGCCGAAGAAGCGCGAGAAGAGGTCGAAGGGATCGTGTTGACGTGGACCGCCGCCTTGCTTGTGCTGTTGGATACCATCGTGGCCGTATTGGTCGTAGATCTTCCGTGTTTCCTTCTCACTAAGAACCTCGTAGGCTTCAGCTACCTCGACGAACTTCTTGCCCGCCTCATCGTCACCACTGTAAAAGGTTAGAGATCTAGGCAGGATTCTAGGACTTGTAGCCGTACGGGTTCTTGTCTGGATGGTACTTCTTGCTCAGCGTTCGATAGGCCTTCTTGATCTCGCGATCTGAGGCATCTTTCTTGAGGCCCAGTAGCTACATCGTCTATGTTAGCCAACATGCTTCAACTTGGAAGTGAGGTGAAGACCAAAGCAAATACAAATATGCTCTCTGCATACCTTGTAGTAATCTTCTGCGCCAACAACTAGAAGTGCTAAACAGGCGACCACAAAGAACAGCGCTATCCGTAGGAGCATCTTGTACTATGAATCGCGCCAACGGCGATGTCGAAGTTGCGAAAGTGAGCGGACGGAATATAAGTATCCGATGTAATTGCAAGGGCAAACGTCTACATGAATTCGCAGATATGAGGCGAGAGCAAGCGACGCCAAAAAGAAGGAAATGGAGTGTTGTGAACGGAAAGTGACTTGAAATGGGGAAGTTGCGAATGGGACACGATAGCAGTAACGTTGATTATGCGACCAATCGGAGTTAAGCCTTGGCATTACCGACTTCACTTTTCATGCGTAGCAATTCCAGCGCGACAGCAGTCAATTGAGGCTGCACCACCGCTCACGTCTCCGACCCGCGATCAGACACGATACGAGGACGTATTGAGTTGCCGTCTTACTATACGGCCCTTGGAATAAACTTTTGCGTGCGCATCCCGCGCTAGGAAACCTCCGCAGGACCTCCGCAATCACCACACCACCCTCACCCAACTGCACATCCACCCACCCACCATGGCGTCGATAGCGACCAAAGCGGTAGCCGGCAAACCAATCGTCCCACAATGCCTCACGAGTCATAAAGTTGGCGTCGTAGTCTCGGCGGGCAAGATGTCCAAAGCCGTACGGGTGCGCGTCGCAGAACAAGAATGGAATAAGAAGTTCAGAAAAGTGCGTTGGCTCGACGATCGTACACAAGACCATGCCAGTGCTGACGATAAAACAGCACTTCCCAGCCCCCAAAACATACATAGCCCGCGACCCTAACAACTCCGTCGTTGAAGGAGACATTGTGCGCATAACATCCGGACACCGCACCTCCAAAGTCATCCACCACGTCGTAACATCCATCGTCGCACCATTTGGCGAACCCGTAGAAAACCGACCACCAGTCCTCTCCCAAGCACAATTAGACGAACAACGCGTCAAAGAGCGATTATTGAAGGACGTAAGGGCAGCGGAGCGGGGAAGACAGACGAGCATCCAGAGATTGGCGCAGGCAAGGAAGCAGGGCTTAAAAATACCGACTCTTGAGGAAGCCATGGAGGCAATGAGGAGACACACTGAAGCAGAGAAGGCACGGGCTGAGGCGCACGATGGACAGGCTGGTCAACAGAAGACGGCAAAGACGAGAAGAGTGGAGCAGGGCAAGAAGACGAAAGCAGAAGTTGAGGCGGAGAGCAAAGTCAAAGCTGCAAGGAAGCAGACCGCATGAGGCAGATGATGAGGGAAACTTTGTAGAACATATTGTGTACACATCAGACATAGCCAAAACTGCCTACACGGTGAGTAATGGCAGCGCATCGTTCAACCCCTACGTTCTCCTTGATGGTAATTATCGCCCACAGAGACCCGCAGCGTTCGGTTATGATCAATGCTCGGCTTTCACATTGGCTCTCATCTGTCTTACTACGTCACCATCAGTCTGTCGAACGAAGTCCTTGGCGCTTGGAACCGTTGTACAGATCCGAAAGAGACCATGCCATGCATGACATTGAAACGTCCTACCGGTGTAAGCATAGAATAGCAAGTAACTAAACCATCAAGACAATAAGTTAGACCGACATGACATTTTAGTACATAGAGAAGTGATAGTGGTTGGGCGTGCTACCGCCCATGCTGCCCCAGATTTCCCTTTTACGATCCGCTATCAAAAATCTTGGCGTGCCGGCATCCGAAATTCCCATGGTTTCTCCAGGCTTTTGCTTTTGGGGAGTGTGGTGGATTTCCATCGTAATAGATGTACTGTTTGGGCACTAGGGATCCTAGGTGGATATCTACAGGGTCGCTTATATATATATAGTGGCTGGTCAAGAGGCGTTTGCCGGATACCCGGCCTGTTCTGTTCTAATCCAAGGGTAAACCCGAAGAATACAAACGGGGGATCGTCATTCGCGAAGCAGACATATCGATTTGATGACATTGCGGTCAGCGCTCCCATTACTCCTTTCAGCATTCGCTCTTGGGCTGTGACCCTCATTGGCATACCACTTGGTGCTACTCATCAACGGTTAAAATCCCACTTATGTATAGCATCACCACAGCCGACCTTGGCTGCTCAGCAGGCGTTTGCCGGAGATCCGACTGGCTATGATACAATACCAGACGCGAAGGATGCAAGGCGGGTGCATTTGATCAGGTGCAATGTTGTGACGTCAAATCAAACTGAATGTTAGAACAAGATGAACAAGCAAGCAGGTAAGATATCGACTGACGCACATGGGTCGCCTTGTATTGTCGATGGGGTACAAGTAGGGAAGTTGAGTACCAACATTCATCGTTGTTCGTCTCGACCGATCACTACATCTCCCGTACCAACTACTCCTCTCATCCGTGTTGTGTTACCAGTCATGTCTGCAGTTACAAGCATAGAACTATTCAGTACCAACATTCCCATCTCCGAACTACCTACTCCTACCCTCCCCAACAGTCCCGGCCCCAGTGACTTCGTCATATCAAACTGCTCCCCCTTTGGTTCATGGAGCTTGCGTCCTGCGGACGTTGCACCACCCTACTGCGCCTATAACCACAACGAAACCATTCCCAATCTATCGTCATGCTGCAAGGAAGGTGCTGAGGTCTATGTTTATGGGGATTGTGTACAGTATGTTGTTTCCATTCTCTCCATCTCTTGCCCTACACTGCTCCTGTTTTCATTATCGTCCGCGCTCTTGTTCTTCTTATAGCTTCGATGAACCGATAACAATTGATTGACATAATACTGACACCATCACTCGACAGGTACTGCGAGGTAGCAGAAGAAGACCAGGAAGCTTGGAAAGAGTGTGTCATCGACGTCTTTCCCGAGTCTGACGTCGAAGGTCACGGCTTTCCTTGTTACTTTGGTGAAGAGAATGATTTTCGTAATCAGGGTACCAGCAGTGGCACCCCAACGCCGACAGAAAGTGCGGCGGAGCAGAGCGAATCTGCGAGCCCTGATGACGACGAAGGTGAGCAAATGCATACTTTGCCGGTGCTATCACACACTAACTCTTTGAAAGGTGCAGCGAATATGGACCGACCACCTTTGACGCTTGTATGGTGGATGGTGGCTTTCCTTGCTGTAGGTGCAGGCTTCATGGCTTAAGCAGTACCCTTTGCTTGTGCTAGAAAAATGGAGACACCATATCATATGTCATATACATCAATGTACCCTATGCAACCCCAAACGCCAATGCTTATCCACCCCGATCCAACCGAACCCAGGGTATCATTGTGTTCATACAATCGTAAAGAATCGAACATGAAACATAAAGACGCAGCTTAAGCGTTTGCTTGAACCACCTTGAAACCTTCCGAGACCATTTTCTGTATCTCTTCATCCTTGTGCTGAAGTTGACCCAATGCGTACGCGACGTCGTTCCACTGCCTCTCGCTCTCTGCTCGTGGGAGCCTGGACGCGAGTTTTGCGGATAGCTGCTTGGCGTGTTTGTCCTGGTAGTGGTCAGTGTCTGAATAAAAGCTTAGGGTGGAAAAGTGAGCATACCTTCTCGATAAATCCTGCCAAGAACTTAATAATCCTCTTCAGTGCATCCTCGCTCAGCGCTGAATCGGCACTGAGTACACTGAACATGTCGATAAACTGGTTGTACACAGCATTGTCCTTCGTTGACAACTCAGTGAAGAACATGCGTGCCATGTCTGCGATCTTCTTGTCGCTGTCTTCAAGGCACTTGGCCATCTCGCCTAGCTGGCCCTTGACCTTGACCTGTCCAGCTAGAATCAGGAAAGTGAGAGTCATGAGACATGTCCGCTTGACACTGGGGTCGCCGTCGTTCAGACGGCGGTAGAGGAAGTCGGTGTTCTCATCAATGAGATGGTTGAAACAAACGGCCATATCACCAAGTGCCACGACGAGATTGCTACGTACAACTGCATCTTGACTTCGTTCGAGGATGGTAAGAAGCAAAGCAAGGTTTGTCTCACAATACTCTGAGCTGACACACATGAGCTTGGCTAAGCACAGTGCAGCTTGCGCTTGCAGCGTGGGGTGATTGTACGATGTGTTGTTGGCGCAAATGTCTGCTACGAGCGGACCGAAATTCGCGAGTAGTGAGTGTGGGCCATATAGGAGTTCACGTTCGCGCACATGCGCGATAGCCTCGGTGAAGTCATCCTCATTCGTTCCCGCCATGAGTTCCAGATCATCTGCTTCCTCGGGCGCTGGTGTTGGCTCTTTCGTAGATCCCCTCTTCCTACCCTTCTTGAGTGGTGTGGGTCCCGACGAAGCCATGGATTGCCGAGGTGTCGCTGCTGTCTTCTTGTCCTTTTCAGCCTTGCGGCGCTTGAACTCAAGCTCACAAAGCTCCAAGTGAACAATTTGTTTGATAGCAATATGTCCGACAACGAAGAGCAGTTGGGACAGTGCAAGGGCAGAGTTCTGCTTCTTTGCCTGTGGCTCGTCGATAGCAGGCGCATCAGGCATCTCCTCATCGATTTCCATTGGTTCCGCGGCACTGGAACTCGACGTTGGTCGCGACTGAGTTTTGACATGCCCCCCAAATACTCGCTTTGTGACCTTGCGGATGATCTCGGAGCACAGCACGTCCGGATGTTTCGAAAGGACATAGATGGCACTAATGGCTTGTTCCGCTACGCCATACCATTCCTTACTATCCGACGTCATCTCGGTTATAGCGGCTAACCTGACTAGAACTGCGTGATCGTTTGGAAGCTTAACGGTCTGTATCGGTGTGTCATGCGCGGCCTGCCTTCCAGGTGGAGGACTCATGCGACGCAGCGCTATGCAGGTGTAGCGTGCTAGGCCTAAATCTCGTCGACCTAGCTCCCCAAGGCCGATCCGTAGGCATGCTTCCATCTCTTGTTGGATGATGTCCGGAGATGAGAGTGCCAACATGCCAAGAACAATGATCGCTCCACGACGCTGGTTCTTGGAGATGTCCTTTTTCTGGTATCCATATATCTGCCAAAGCTTCTGGATGACCAGTTCGTTGACCAGTCCCTGTTTCTTCATGGTACTGAGAAGTTGCTCGAGAGACGTGAGTTCAGCGGGAGTTGTGCCGAATGTGAGACTGATCATGTTTTTCGAGACATAGTTGGCAACTGCATTGGCATCGAATCCAGGTGGCGCATCGAAGAAAAGGCCTTTGTAGCACTCCAGCAAGTGTGTTTGAACACCCTTCCCTTCGTCACTATTGCCCTTGGTCCAGATAAGGCGCAGCATCCTCCGTATACCGAGCTTAGCATTCGCGATCTTGTAGGCGTCGACGGTCACGAAGAAGTCCATGGCCTCGATGACTTCACTCTTGTTCTTGGACGACAACAGCTGAGTGACAATCTCAGCGGCATCGTCGATAACTTCAATGAACTTAAGCGCTTCAAGTAAGTACTTGCGAACTGCCTGGAATTTCTCAAGCTCTTGCGCAGTTGCAGCATCCTTTTGCGCCTTCTCAATCGCAGCGGCTCTCTCTTCTTCGGACATCTCGGAAGGATGTTTTGGTCCTTCGTCATCTCCGTTATCAGCTTGGGTTGCGTCTTGTAGCAGAGTCTCGTCTACGGTCTGGTCACCAGGCGCACGCTCTCGAAGCTCTTCCGGAGGTTGTAGGGCGTTGATCTGAGCGTCGACATCATCCAACCTCCGTGTCCAATCTTTGCTCGATAGTAATCCACCGTCAAAGGTAGTGAACGGGTGAGTTGAAATAAGCTTTGCGAGCAGCTTGACTGCGTTGCGACGTACGTTGCTGCTCTTGTCTTCCAGGCTACGCGCGGCAAGTTCGGCGACCTTCTGTCTGCGTTTGGTATACTTCTGATCTAAATCGCAAAGCCTGATATAAACTTGCATGACTCGTGCCCGACAGTAGGGATTGATGTCAAGGAACCTGTCCTCAAGTACGTCAAAGAAGATGCGGATCTGTGCTTTATGATTCTCGCTGCGGTCGTCCTGGCTCAGCTTGCTAAGCATGATGATCAGATTTCCACAGACTTCGATAAGGGCACAGCGAAGGGTATATGATTCGCTATCGAGCAAATTCGCGAGCAACGTCATCTGGCGAATGACGAGGTGGGGAGTGAGCTCGGAGATCTTAGTAAGAAATGTCGAGATGGACTTTGGTCCCTTCAGGTCGGTAGAGCTGAACTCTTTGCTACTGATGTCCTTCAAGACATCCTCAGTGAGTTGTGGGTAGTCGAAAGCATCGGCAAGTGTGAAAAGAAATTCAGCCATAGGTTCTGACAGGTGCTCGAAGTATGTCAAGCTCTGGTTGATGGACGTCTGGGCAGCTACCACAAGTGTCAGCATGAGCACCCCCAAAGAGGCTTCTCGTACGTACTGTAAGCATGTCCATGAGATTTGACAGCAAAGCACAGAACCCTGAAGCAGTGATTCCGTATCGCATTGTTCTTGACTCTTGCCTCGTTTTCGAGGATGTGGTATACTGGCTTAGTGAAGAGGCCAATGAAGGTGTCCCGCTCTGACGTGGTGACGAATATACGACCCAGCTTGAGTCTCAGTACTTTGCTCATGCGATCGAGAGCCGTCTCAAGTTGTGCTGAGGCGTCCCAAACGACGTCCTTGCCGCCACCAGACTTGGGCTTCGCAGCCTTACCCCGCCCCCTCGCTGCTGGTGCAGAGGCTGATTTCTCGAGCGCCCTCGTCTCGACGGCGGAGATGGTCCATCTGAGAAGGAAGCCGTACATTTCCAGGAGGTTCTTGTGGTGCGGTATCGCATCTTGGTCTTCGGCTTCGAGATCTGCGTGGATGATGTCGGCTTGCGTGGACAAAGCGGAGGTTATGAGGTCGAGGATCTTGCTCAGGATGGCGGGTGGTATTTGCGACGAGTGCCTAGATAGCCGGAATAGGTTACTATTGGGTTCCCTCTCATATGTTTTTGTATCTGGATACGCGGGGACGCACTTCAAGAGGAATTGCAGCGTATCAAATACAGAGCTGCGAGTGATCGCATCTGGGCTCTCTGCCACAGCATCGACCACAGGGTTCAGTTCGCTGTTGATCAATCCGGGCGACGACAGCGATTCTGGCTCATCTTCGCAGTCTTGCAGCGCTTGCGGGGCTTCGGGGGTGGGAATCTCTGCAGGGTCGCTGTCGAACAGCTTGACCGCCTCATTGATGTCAAAATCCACCCGGTCGTCCATGATGTTCAGAGTCGCTTGGGGAAATCAAGAATCAGAAACAAGGAGCGACGAAATGAGCGCCGGGGTAGGGTGGGGTTGCTTGCGCGGTGAAAGCGAAGATGCGGCCGCAACCGTCGCACCTGCCCCGAAAGCGCGTGGGTGTTTATTGGCCCGTGCGCTCTGTCATCAGTATGCCCCTTTCGGCTTAGCAAGACAGGGTCCAACGCGTCTGCCGTCCACACCGCGAACAAGATTCGCGCATCGTCCGACACAGCTTCACAAGCCACCACTACAATGGCAAAGGCACGCACATCATTGCGTCATGCAGAGACCATCGACGTCCACGAGGACGACATGAGGGAGGACGAGGCCGAAGTGACCCAGGACGAAAGCATGAACCCGCTCGAAGAAAGTGGGCGCACCATTGACAGCAGCGACGAGGAAGTCGAAGACTCGGTTCAAGAAGACATGGCGCGCTTTGAAGAATCATTCGCCGGTATCAACAAGCGGTTCCGACTTATCAATCGCATTGGAGAGGGTATGTATTATATCATTGGCTTGCGGCATGCAGGGTAGCGGGCTCGACTAACACTTTCGCACAGGAACCTTCTCAACCGTGTACAAGGCTGAGGACCTCGAGTATACAAAGTACAACAACAGCTGGGACATCGACGAGCGAGAGAGAACCAAGTCCATGCCCCTGGCACACAAGAGGCAATCCGCCCGGAAGCCCCACTACGTCGCCATCAAGAAGATCTACGTCACGAGCAGTCCGATACGCATCTTCAACGAACTCGAACTGCTGTATGATCTGAGGGATTCAGACTCAGTATGTCCCCTCATTACCGCCTTCCGCCACCAGGACCAGGTTGTTGCTGTATTGCCCTACTTCCAGCACCGCGACTTCCGCGATTATTACCGCGACATGGACATCTCTCATATGCGCTGCTACTTCAAGAGTCTGTTCACAGCACTAGCGGCGGTACACCAGAAGGG